TATGTATATGTAGAATTAGAAGGTGTGTGGACACTCTACTAAATAAATGAGTAAAGAGACCGAGCAACAATTATCAGATTTATCTGAAGAAAAAACAAATAGTAATGCAAATAATTATAGCAGAATGCACAGTACCAGTACAAACAGCTCACAGTAAATGATACCAATATGTACAGTATCAGTACAAACAGCTCACAGTAAATGATACCAATATGTACAGTATCAGTACAAACAACAGTAGACACAGTGGAATTATACCAATATGCACATGTAAACAGTCCCCATTCTAGAATAAACGCTACCGTATGGAAACCATGCGGCCGGTTGGAGCTCAAATTGAATGGGAAACAAAGTCCAGTGTTCAGTGTTCATTCTGGCTCTAGCTAACGTCAGATTAACAGTCACAGATCCTGTCAGCTATGAGCTCGTCGTGTTGACACTGAATGTAACAGCAAAATCTTTATTACTGTTCTTATTATTGGTCAGGATGATCTTTGAAGGACTGACAACAGAAGGGTTACTGTTGGTTGAACAAATATTTCATGACTATAACTTGAAACATTTTGTTTGAAAAGTCTCCTCTTAGAATGAAACTCAACTGAAGGAGAGATTCAACGTCCAGTTGAATTTTTATTTTCAGTGTCATAGATAAGTGAACGTACACTGTGTGATACCGTCAGTTTTTATATCATGATGAACCTTAAAACCAGTGTATCACTGCAACCCTGCTTTCATCCAGTGAGCCATAACGTTAATTTAGCTAACGTTAAGTGTTGCTGTCCTCTCTGCGCCTACTGCACTGCACACGCCCCTTTAGCTTTAATTGACTAAAGAAAAGAATCCCGTGTTTTTTCGCCATGAATAATTTAAAGTATCTCTCATCGTCAGGCCCAAACACAATCTGTGGATTCATTAATAATTGTTAGTGTTTGATCCAAAATGAAAATCTGCAAAATGCTTTTGCTGGTAATGTGATCGACAATATTTATTTATGTTTTTGAACCAGAATAACGTCACACAACACGTTCAGACCTGAAATGATGTCCAGCAGGTGAAAAGAACGACTTAGTGGAAACTGAAGGTTCAGTGCGCAGCAGAGAGAACAAACAGCATCTATTAACAGGACATCTGATGTCTGACTTTTCTTCATCACTAACTCTGATTTTACTGCTGACTGAACACAACACACACCTGTCACACACCTGTCACACACCTGTCACACACCTGTCACACTGTAATTCTTTGTAACCATATGTAGTTGCCCCTGTTTTAGGGTTTTTACGGTTCAGTTATAGCTTCTATTCACATACCTTTGGCTTTTCTCTGTCATGATCTCATCAGGTGTTTATGTAGCTTGTTTTAGAGCTGTATATTTTTATTTTGTATTTTTGACTTTGTCGTCTGTCTGTAACTGATGCTGCCGTCTGTCTCAGCCAGGACGCTGATGAAGACATTTAAGAGGTTTTTCTGGTTAAATAAAAGTTAAATAAAGAGTTATTCAGACTCAGATTCTGTATTATAATAATTGTAAAAAGGAGGTGATGGGATGTCTGACGGGAGGTTTTCTGTCTGCGCTGAATGAAGTGATGAACTGAATGAATCAGTGAGGACAGTTATTATAGATACTGTGGTGACATCTGCTGGACAGTCTGTGCTATTACACCTGTAAGGTAATCTGAAATACAGTAACATATAAAAAGGTATATACAAAGAGTCAGCTGTCTTATAGTGTCACAACAGATCCTTCCTGTCTTCGTCTTCACATCCTCATCATCATCAAGTGACTGATAGAATATGAAACATCTGTCTGATGTTAATGTGGTGTTTCTTCAGTCACTGTGTTCAAGAAGCAAGCGTACAGACTCAGCACGTTCTCATCCCAGCTCATCAAATCCCGTCAATTTGTCAGTCGACTTTCACGTCTACTGACTCTGTGACTCTTTCTCCATTGTCACTCTTGGCTGCGTCGAGTAAAGCTGCGCTGGGCCGATTCATTTTTCCATTGTGAGCATGTGGATACAGAGAGCTCAGTCTGATCCATCCAGTACATGACATGCACAGATAAGGCACAATAATAAGATGATAACAGAAAGAAGTTTATTTACAGACCATCTGAACAGTAAGTTCTTGTTGGCGGCAGAGGCTGGACCTGTATGAAATCACAATGCTTCTTCTTCTTCTTCTTCTTCTCTGTTGCCATTCTCCTCCGTCATTGAATGTTAGCATCCTCTTCTTCATCCTCTTTCTCATCTAATCTATTTATTATCTATTTCATCATCCTGCCTTCTTTGCTTCAGCAACAAGCGGTAGATACCGAGCAAAAGCACCAGAGCCTGAGAAACCTTCATGATGATGATGTTCCCAGCAGCTGTCGCAGGGTGCAATAATAAACAGCACTGCAGAGGACGCTCCCTTTAAACTTCATGGACCCACGGCCAGCACGTCATCATAAAGGACGCATCTTTAATCGGGCAGCCTGGTTTCCACCCGGTCACTGCTGTGGGTCAAGGGTGTATGATGCGTCGGGTATCCTCCTGCGTCTGTTGTTAATGTTCCAGGACGCCATTTCAGTTTCTGCTCATCACATGCAGCGTGTCTTTCAAAATACATTTCTATCTCCACAGGAAGTGTACAGTCTCTGCTCTCTCTTTCAAAATAAAGTCACAGCGTCAATAAAACATCTCGTATTTACTTAGTTTCAGACACAAGATCGAAACCTTTCACAGGCGCCGGATCAAAAAGTCAAACGCAATGGAGGACTCTGGCTCAGAGTATATTTACAGACTTCTTCACATCATGGAGGACTTGGCTCGGCCTCACAGTTGTTTCTGATGGTAGATACATGACTTAAACTGAAGTTACACCTGGATGTACCAACAGTCAGCCATAGTGACAGTGACGATGTCTCTCTGAGGATGGAGATGTTGATCAGTTCACATGTCAGATGGACTTTGATCACACGTCTTTCATCATTTGTGTTTCCTTCAGGAGTCACTCTGGTGACGCATCGTCAGGTCAGCGTGTTATTGTGTCCAATACTTTAGTTTATGTCCAAATACATTCCCATCAGCCTCTGCTGGACTCTGTATATAGCTAATGTTAGCATGCTAACGCTACACTAAGAGGCCGTACACGTGCTGCATCTTTAACCACCTGGAACACACGAGGTCGCCGCTGGGCGCTACTCTTGTGTCTTTTCTGTGCCAGCGGCAGGTTGTTTGTGAGGTTGCTAAGCAACCTTAACGATCATCATATAACCTGTTTACCTGAAACCCTGAGGTCAGAGCTGATCTACTTCCTGTGTGTCTGTGGGACAGATGTGACGCTCTGACAGCTCTGCACTGACATGATCAACTTCTCCTCCACATTTATCACACACTGATATTTACTGAGGAAGGAAAGATATCCGTCAGCTGTGATTGGTTGGTCCTCATCACATGACATGCAGTCACGCTGCTACGTTCCAAAAGTTGAACTCCATGTATCTCAGGGCACAGCCGTCGTACCCGCAGAAATAGGCACTCGAGAACGTGCGCGCCACGCCAGCGTCTACGTTGAAAACAAAGACTTTGAGGGTGCAGAAAGTGCCGCATGTGTTTAAACATTATACCTGCTAACATTAGCCTGTTAGCATGCTGATGCTAACATTAGCCTGTTAGCATGCTGATGCTAAAAGTAAAGCCTCATAGCTGCAGACTCTCAGTGTGGCTGCTGAAGGTGTCGCTGCCTAAACCTGCTGTGAGGAGCTGCCGTGTCTCTGAGCAGCGTCGCCCGACACTCCAACATCCGGCCAAGTCAAGATCAAGATTAATTTATTGTCCCACGAGTGGGAAATTTGTCTCGGGCTTTTTCACCCCTGCTGCAGCCATAAAACACACTGGTAACACAACATAATACAGGTAATAAAAAAATAGTACAACATAGTAATAAATAGGAAATTAAAACAGTAAAGAAACGTTATAAAATAAACAGCAGCCATGAAGTGCAGTGGTGCATCTTTAACATGCTGCTAACAAAGTTAATAGAAGCAGAGACAGAAGATTATTTGAATTTATAAATCTGCACAGGGGAACTCTGTGTGTGTGTGTGTGTGTGTGTGTGTGTGTGTGTGTGTGTATAATAAGCTGTCAGCAGGGTCGTCATGCAGCCTTCATTATTCTGTCGACACGCCTTGTACGGTAACTCAGCCTGTGTGTGTGTGTGTGTGTGTGTGTTGTCGTGGCCTGGTGCCAAACACACGGCGCCACTCTCAGAGTTCGATGATCTCACCTCAGCCCACCTCCAAACACACTGTGTGTACTCAGCAGTGTGTGTGTGTGTGTGTGTGTGTGTGTGTGTGTTACGTGTGCTTCAACATGTTTTATAAAAACCAGTTGTATAAAAGTGAGTTTAAAAGAGAGCCAAAGATGGTGTTCTGGTCTGTTCTGGTTCCTGCAGCTGATTTTAAGTCGTTTGAAGCATTTCGACTTAAAATAAACTGGGTCAGAACCTGATGAGTTGGTTCTCAGCTGGAACAAAACAATCCAGCAGGGACCGTTTGCACAAAACACCTGAAGTTCAGACTTGTTTGCTGGATAAAAACAAAAATCTGTAATAACTGAACAAGTTTGGAGGTGAACAATGTGAGACGTCCAATCAGACTGAAGAATGAACTGATTAGAATTTTGGTGGTTGAAGGTCAAAGGTCAGTGTGACCTCACAAAACATGTTTTTGTCCATAACTGAAGAATTCATTCACTGATTCTGACCAAACTTGACACAAATGTCTAACAGGATAAAATAAGGTCAAAGGTCAGCTTGACTGTGACATCATCATGTTTTAACGTCATATCTCAGGAACAGAAGGGGAGACATTTGGTCAGATGGACTGGTGGGCGGATTCATACAGCCACAGGGTGGTGATTGTCGTTTGTGATTAAACTGTTTTTGTTTTGAGATTTTAACTCCAGCTCAGTTTATCATCAGGCACTGAAATGACTTTGTAACGACGAACAACAAACTGACAGCGAGTAGATCAGTTTTATTATCTCAATTATTCACAACTTGTTTATCACATCCAGAGAATAAATATTAATATCAAAGTAAGATGGAAACAGACGATCTGTTCAGACTGCTGCTGTTCTCAGGTCTCTGATGACAAAAAGAAAACTGGTAGAAAGTCAGAAAACTGGTAGAAAGTCAGAATACTGGCGATGCGTTAGCATGAAACTGCTTAAATATAAAAATTTAATAACGTGTAAAATATGAACGTATCATCAGCCATCCAAAGATCAGTGGAGTAATGACGAGCCGCCCTGGCTGCAGTTCCTCTAATGTCCACCAGGCGGAGCTGCAGGAAAAATATCTGCATTAAAGTGAATGAAAAACTCGTTCACAGCAAGTCCAGGTTTCAGAGGATCCCTCAGGAACAACAGCGCCACCGTGTGCTTAAAACTGTGGAGATCAGGTGATGGCGCTCCAGTGTAGCTCTGTGAGGATGATGTCACACCTCTGTCCTCGCCGTAGGACGCCAGGGCTGATGTCACCTCTCTGCTGATGTCACAAAGTGTCTGTGTTCAGACTCCCAGCAGGATCCCAGAGAACAGAGAGTCCTGCAGGACGCTGATGGACGAGCCGGTGGCGTTGTCCACAAACACTGACACGTACTCTCCAGCCTGTACACACACACACACACACACACACACACACACACAGAGTCAGATTTTATCCAATCAACTTCAAAGTCAGTGTGTCTCTTCGAAAGACCCTAATGATGAGCAGTTGTTGACAGCTTTTGATTGGCCGTCTCATTTCAGTGTCTCAAGTCACACAGGAAGTTGTTGTAACTTGACTTTACAGTGTTCAATCTGCCTCAAACTGAGGCTTGAACACAAGTGGTGAAGCTTTCAGACACCTGCATGTATATCTTTCATTTTTCATTTAGCGCCACAAAACTTACAGCGAGAAATCACACACGTCCATGTTTAGTACGCGAGGCAGCAAAAAGCGCTGTCTGTGAGATCTGGTGGTCGTACCTGTAGATAGAGCGTTCCTGTCAGTAAGATACTGAATGTTCCTCCAGCAGCTGCCACGCCCATCACTGACTCTACAGAGCTAACACACACACACAAAAGCACACATGGCACGGCGTCAGTACACGGGTGCAGGTAAACACACAGGTGACTGACTGTCAGCCAATAGGAACAGAGGAAGAGTTTACTCACAGGTTGCTCTGGCAGAGTGACTCGATGCAGATGGCTGCTCTCACACTGTCTCTGAGTCTCACCTGGAGTCTGTCTCCTGACTCTGACACACACACACACACACACACACACACACACACACACACAGATGAGTTAAAACATGTATTTTTATCTGTAGCTGTTTGTAAAGAGAGGATCACATCACAGGACACATCATGAAGTCTAGGTCGATGACGCTCAGTGACAACAGACCATCAGCTTTTAAAGTGGATGTGATGTCAGACTGAAGGTGTGGACGGAGCGTGGCGAGTCGACAGTTCTGTCTGAACACAACATTCAGTCATTACTGAGAAGCCCTTTTTAAACAGGAGTTGTGCAAATTTGCAGGAAAGCCCAATCAGTCTTTTTTCAGCATTGGCAGTATAAAAACAAAATCGGGGAGTGCAGCAAAATGCCGCCTACCTACTTTTGTTTATACAGAATGTGCCTTTTTCGGGGCAATGGGGGGCGTGAGCAAGTAACAAAACGTGTAGCTCAGCGTGTGACGTAAACAGTGACGTGGGAGGGAAGCCGCGGCTGGTCAGTCCTTCGGCGATTCTCTCGTAAGTCGGCCCGTTCTTCACCGTCCCCGTCATCTGACGGTTAATGGCCTCTTCGTTTGCGAGGACAAGGAGGGCGCGCAATTCCTTGTCTCCCCAGTTGCTCATCTTTACAGTGTCTGTCAGGTTTGTGTTTCCCTCTTGCTACTAGCTGCTCGCTAATTCCTGCTATCAGCTGTTTCCTGTTTATCCACCGCCAGTGGCTCGCACGTGTGGCGTCATCAACAGCTCCTTCCACAAGTCATCAACAGCTCCTCCCACAAGTGTGTGTGTGTGTGTGTGTGTGTGTGTGTGTGTGGCTCTCACCGATCAGCAGGCTGGCGGTCAGCTGGTAGAATCCAGAGACGGCTGCAGTGTATCGGCCGATGCTGCTGTTGAAGCTCTGACCTCTCTGGAAGCTCCGCTCTGAGTCTGACGGCTGCAGGGGTCAGAGGTCACATTATAACCTGTGATCTCACCTGTGTGTGTGTGTGTGTGTGTGTGTGTGTTTGTGTGTCACCTGGCTGAATGGCTGCAGCTCCAGCAGGCTGCGACGTGGGACGATGACGGCCTGCTGGAGGCGACTGAGGAAGGAGGTGGAGACACGAGGAGGACGGTCACACAGGAAACACACTCCTCCTGCCATGTCTGAGAGGAGGAGGAGGAGGAGGAGGAGGAAAGGGGGGGAGAAAACGAGGGGAAAATGAGAGAAATAAAATTCACTGATTGTTTTTATAATTTTTTTTCTGCAGTGAGGTCATATGAGAACAAACATGGAGCTGTGTGTGTGTGTGTGTGTGTGTGTGTGTGAGTCAGACTGTGGTCAGACTTCAGACGTCTGAGTTCATCAGTCACACAAACGTCTGCAGTCCCACTAATGAATTCTGGGTAAATTAGGTCAAAATAAACAGCCCGTCCAACATGAGACACACTCGTCCAAACAGCAGCAGCAGCAGGAGGGACGTGTTCAGATGGTCTTCAGTCTGTTCAGTCCTCAGCTCCTCCTGTCCTCATGGTGATGAGTGGACTGCTCCCTGTGTTCCTCACGTCTCTCCTGATGTCACCAAACTGCAGTTCCTCTGATGTCCACTAGAGGCTGACTCTTAGTGTGAGTCAGTCCTCACAGACCATGTTAACACGCAGTCGTTCTGCACGACTGGAGTTCTGGAATATTACTGGTCACATAAAGTCCAGTTCAGACAACAAGACGAGTTGAAACAAACATTTACTGTCACATTAAGGCAACTACACTCAGTGGCCACTTTATTAGGTACACCTTGCTGGTACCAGTTGGACCCCCTTTTTAATTCTTGGTGTCACAGATTCAACAAGGTGCTGGAAACATTCCTCAGAGATGTTGGTCCATATTGACATGATGACATCACACAGTTGATCCGTGACGTTCCAGCACATCCCAAAGGTGCTCTATTGGACTGAGATCTGGTGACTGTGGAGGCCATTGGAGTACAGTGAACTCATTGTCATGTTTGAGATGATGTGAGCTTTGTGGTACACTGTGGTCATAAAGGGATGGACACGCTCAGCAACAATACTCAGGTAGGCTGTGGTGTTTAAACCATGCTCAGTTGGTACTAAGAAAATCTCCCCCACACCATTACACCACCAGCAGCAGCCTGAAGCGTTGATACAAGGCAGGATGGATCCATGCTTCCATCTGAATGTGGTTTTTCCAATCTTCTATTGTCCAGTTTTGGTGAGAAAACCCGTGTGAATTGTAGCCTCAGTTTCCTGTTGTTAGCTGACAGGAGTGGCACCTGGTGTGGTCTTCTGCTGCTGTAGCCCATCTGCTTCAAGGTTGGACAAGGTGTTGTTGCTTCAGAGATGCTCTTCTGCACACCTTGGTTGGAACCAGTGCTTATTTGACTTCCTGTTGCCTTTCTATCATCTTGAACCAGTCTGGCCATTCTCCTCTGACCTCTGGCATCAACAAGGCATTTTGGCTCACTGGATATTTGCTCTTTTTGGGACCATCCTCTGTAAACCCTAGAGATGGTTGTGCTGAAAATCCCAGTAAATACTCAGACCAGCCCGTCTGGCACCAACAACCATGCCACGTTCAAAGTGGCCAGTGAGCACCATGAGACGGCGTATCATCTCTAGTCAACGACTTAGTTTGTGGCTGAATATAATTTGTAGCTTCTTAAAATCTGAATGAGGATAGTGATAGTGAGATACTGGCTACAGTGATGAAACAAAACCAGCATCAGTTGGACTGTATTCATAATCAATATGCCAATGAGAATGTGTGTGTGGGCGGGGCATAAGCACATACAGCCAGCAGCAGCAGCGACCCACCGTCTAACACCGGCACACCGTGATGACTGAAACAGTGTGCTCTGTGGGGACGGAGCACCTGCTGCAGCAAGCCAACACGCTGTCTGTGGTCATTTTGACTTGACCAGCTGACTTCACTACACTTTTCTCTTCATTAATAACCATCAAGCTGAAAACAGAGGCGCTGCCACCTACACACTGGACATACCGCGCTCGGCTCATCAAAAGACGACCACATGCAGTTATTTACTGAAAGATCTGTACTTCTTGTCATAGTTTTCATGCAGTACTTTAAATGAAGCTCTGCCCACCTGGTGACATGTTTCACGTTACCACAGTAACAGTTCAGCTGGAACATGAACAGACACAGTGACTGAGAAAATAATAATAATAATAAAAATAAGATAAGAATAACCTGATGACATCACACATGTCGTGAAAGATGACCAGCGATTATTGGTCGTGGACCATCGTGCAGTCTGAACCTAGCGTTAGCGTGTGATGCTAACAGTTAGCCTCCTCGCTGTCAGTGTGTGGTCGGCGCTCACCAGCTGTCTGTGGGCGGAGCTGAGTCATGACGCTGCACGCAGCTCGACAGTGAAACAAGATTTCACCCGTTTTAAACAGAAACGTGGAAAAAAGTATTAAAATACTGAGTGAATATCCAGAACAGTGAAAACTGAACTCCTGCCCAACAAACAAATACACAAATATTCCCCAGCTTCAGCCGTGTGTGTGTGTGTGTGTGTGTGTGTGTGTGTGTGTGTGTGTGTGTCTGAACACACTGTTGTTTGATTCACATCATGATGTGACACATTTAAATGAGATTCGTTAATAAATCATCACAAACTGTAAAATCTGAAAATCACATAGAAGCAACATGACGGAGGAAAACACGCATGAACGAACAAACACACACACACACACACACACACAGTAACAAAGACACACCATCAGTCAGCAGGAATGTCAGGAATCCTGCTGCTGAGCCAAGTCACATCTACGCTCCACAAAATTACCCCTATTAAGGTCTCAGACAGCCCGCCTCCACACACACACACACACACACACACACACACTGAGCTGTGTTTATATAACCTACATACAGAAAACACAGGATGAAAGTGAAAAATTGAAGCAGGACAAATGATGAAAATGAAACTGAGCAGTTTGGATCCATGTACTGTTAGAGGGGGGGGTATCTTGGTTTATAGTCGCCTGCATGTTTTATTTAAATATATAGATTGTTTTAATTTATTTATATTTAAATTTTTTGAATTTTATAATTTTAATTCAAATAGAAATTATCGTTACCCTAGCTTAGCACAAAGACTGGGAGCAGGGTCAAATTGTTAGCCTAGCTTAGCACAAAGACTGGTAGTATAGTAGGGGGAACTGTTAGCCTAGCTTAGCACAAAGACTGGTAGCAGGGGGAACTGTTAGCCTAGTTTAGCACAAAGACTGGTAGCAGAGGGAACTGTTAGCCTAGCTTAGCACAAAGACTGGTAGCAGGGGGAACTGTTAGCCTAGCTTAATTTTGTCACAGCAGAAGACTCTGACGTCGGATCAGTGTGAACTGGTCTCAGCTCAGTCTCTGGACATCGGTGACCTCTCACCTCTTAGTTTGAGCTGAAGCTCCTGGATCAGCTCCTGTTGTTGGGGCAGGAGGGGGGCCGGGGGGCCTGGAGGCCCCTGGGGTCCTGGAGGTCCTGGAGGTCCTGGAAGACCATGCTGCAAACACAAATTCAAATTCAAACAAATTCTCAGGTTCAGTTTGTGAGAGGTTTCAGATGGTTCAGAGTTTTAATGTCTGACCTGATGATGGATCACAGGTAGGACCATCAGAGGGTCAATCAACAGGGTCATCACACTATGACATCACATAGATTCTACAGACAGCGATGCGATATGGCTGATATTACAGTGCCTGTCACAATATGATTAGTTTCGATGAGAATTCCAAAATAAAGGCCTAAAGATGATGATACTGGATCACTGATCATTAAATCGATGTTGATCCAGATCAGTGGATTGTTACACCCCTAAGAACTGTCTCATGCTGACTGTGGTCTCACAGGTGAATTCACAGAGAAAGCTTTGTAGCCACAAGGTGTACGTCAGATGACGCCCCCATCTGCTCATCTCATGAACATACATGAACTAATGACACAGCACGAACACGCCTGTGAAGCAGCCGAGTGCAGTTCTCCTGTGGTGTTGTGTCTGCTTTGTTCCTAACAAAAAGGCCACCGAGGTGAGAACAGACAGAACGAAGCTGCAGGTCCTGACTGACGAGGTGCAGACGCTGGATTTATTTAATGTCTCAGTCCGTCAGTTTCCCCAAGGAGACACTTCACAGCGACAGTCTGAGCTGATCTCTGTGAACCACACGGTTTTTGCAGTCAAGCTTAGTTTGGCATTAAACATTACCTCATTTAAATATGTGCACGTTTCACTGGAGCAGAGGTGCCGTTTGCTCCGCAGCACAGTTAGAGGTGCATTTACTGAATTGGTGACTCTAATCTTGAAACTGTGCTGATTGTATAGATCTTCTGTGTGTGAAGCATCCATGTTTTCACTGACATGGATGGAGACTGTCAGAGAGACTGGACTGGTGGGCGGAGTCATACAACCACAGGGTGGACTGGTGGGCGGAGTCATACAACCACAGGGTGGACTGGTGGGCGGAGTCATACAACCACAGGGTGGACTGGTGGGCGGGGTCATACAACCACAGGGTGGACTGGTGGGCGGAGTCATACAACCACAGGGTGGACTGGTGGGGGGAGTCATACAACCACAGGGTGGACTGGTGGGCGGAGTCATACAACCACAGGGTGGACTGGTGGGTGGAGTCATACAACCACAGGGTGGACTGGTGGGCGGAGTCATACAACCACAGGGTGGACTGGTGGGCGGAGTCATACAACCATGGAGCAGTGATTCTAGTTTATAATTAACTACACAGTGTCTTAACCCAGAGCAACCTCTTGATTTTTCTTTATGATACTCATATGTATAAATAAAGATGTGAATTGATTGGACAACATGTGATCTGCAGGATAGAGTTTCATCGCTGTGTTTAGCTTAGGCGGAGATGTGTCTGACCTTGGAGGTTCTCCTGGACCCTTTGGTTCTCCGGTTGTCCCCCTTGTTGGAGTTTCTCCTGAAGATGAGCCAGGAGCTGAGAGGAGACACTCTGGACAGATCAGAGGACAGCGGCTCCTGGAGGACACCGACCACAAGAGACAAAGTTCATATGTTAAATGTTGTCAAGTTTAGTTTTAAACACTGTAAGTGTTCCCAAAGATCTTTGTTCAGTTTAATCAGCTTTTAAAAAATCAGTCAATATCAGTATGATCAATAATCAATGATGAGTCAGTGTTTTATTTTCTGTTTGAGCAGGAAAGTTGAACTGGAACTCATTTAGTTTGTTTAATAGGAGAAAGCTGTTGGATTCATTGGTCAGGTTTGTCGTGATATTTTATTCTGTGTAGAAATTTTCCGACATGAACAAATAGACAGACCTGTGACTCAAAACTGAAGCAATGCAGACATTTACAAAAATCGAAAACACAAATTCTTCCTCTCACTTAATTTTCTGCAACTGCTTATCCTGTTAGAGGTCACAGGGGGGTGGAGCCTATCCCAGCTGACAGACAACCATTCACACTCACATTCACACCTACGGACAATTTAGAGTCACCAATTAGCCTGCATGTCTTTGGACTGTGGGAGGAAGCTGGAGCACCTGGAGGAAACCCACGCTGACACGGGGAGAACATGTCAGAGCACCTGGAGGAAACCCACGCTGACACAGGGAGAACATGTCAGAGCACCTGGAGGAAACCCACGCTGACACAGGGAGAACATGTCAGAGCACCTGGAGGAAACCCACGCTGACACAGGGAGAACATGTCAGAGCACCTGGAGGAAACCCACGCTGACACAGGGAGAACATGTCAGAGCACCTGGAGGAAACCCACGCTGACACAGGGAGAACATGTCAGAGCACCTGGAGGAAACCCACGCTGACACAGGGAGAACATGTCAGAGCACCTGGAGGAAACCCACGCTGACACAGGGAGAACATGTCAGAGCACCTGGAGGAAACCCACGCTGACACAGGGAGAACATGTCAGAGCACCTGGAGGAAACCCACGCTGACACAGGGAGAACATGTCAGAGCACCTGGAGGAAACCCACGCTGACACAGGGAGAACATGTCAGAGCACCTGGAGGAAACCCACGCTGACACAGGGAGAACATGTCAGAGCACCTGGAGGAAACCCACGCTGACACAGGGAGAACATGTCAGAGCACCTGGAGGAAACCCACGCTGACACAGGGAGAACATGTCAGAGCACCTGGAGGAAACCCACGCTGACACAGGGAGAACATGTCAGAGCACCTGGAGGAAACCCACGCTGACACAGGGAGAACATGTCAGAGCACCTGGAGGAAACCCACGCTGACACAGGGAGAACATGTCAGAGCACCTGGAGGAAACCCACGCTGACACAGGGAGAACATGTCAGAGCACCTGGAGGAAACCCACGCTGACACAGGGAGAACATGTCAGAGCACCTGGAGGAAACCCACGCTGACACAGGGAGAACATGTCAGAGCACCTGGAGGAAACCCACGCTGACACAGGGAGAACATGTCAGAGCACCTGGAGGAAACCCACGCTGACACAGGGAGAACATGTCAGAGCACCTGGAGGAAACCCACGCTGACACAGGGAGAACATGTCAGAGCACCTGGAGGAAACCCACGCTGACACAGGGAGAACATGTCAGAGCACCTGGAGGAAACCCACGCTGACACAGGGAGAACATGTCAGAGCACCTGGAGGAAACCCACGCTGACACGGGGAGAACATGTCAGAGCACCTGGAGGAAACCCACGCTGACACGGGGAGAACATGTCAGAGCACCTGGAGGGAACCCACGCTGACACGGGGAGAACATGTCAGAGCACCTGGAGGAAACCCACGCTGACACAGGGAGAACATGTCAGAGCACCTATATAGAGCACCTGTAGAAATTTCATTTTCTACAACACTGACTTTCACCCGAGAGAGCGGTGTTCATGCCCTCAAAAATTGTAAAGCCAAACCCTGTTTTTTTTTCCTAAATATAACCACGTGTGTTGTTGAAGGAAAAAATGTAAATTTGCGTGTTGTACCGACATAGTGTGTCATGCTTTTATTTTGAAAGAGACTGTATGCAAACTGCACATTTCCTGTGAAAACAGAAGTGTATTTTGAAAACAGACAATGCATGTAACAGGCTGAAGTTGAATAAAGACATTAATGAGCATTATCTCCATAAACTGATGCATCACACTTCACCAAAAGCAGGAAATGATGAAATACGTAGCGCCATGACATCATTATGAGTGTACATGATGACACAGAAAGCAGAAGCCTGAGCAAGAAAGTTTTCTACTTGTTATGGATTTTATTTTCTGTACCGAGAGTTCGTACAAGTGTTTCTGTCTGCAGCTCCTGATCTGTGGACTCGTCTGCAGACGTGTCTCTCATTGGCTCCTCTGCTGCAGGGTTTCCATACACAGTCATGTATATGCTGATGTCAGGGTGGATTTGAGCTGCTCTGTGTCGTCATGTGTTGTCATGTGTCACTGTTTCATGTTTCTGCAGATGTTATCTCAGGTTTTGGCTTTTTTCTTTGTCATCACCTCATTTTATGTTTCAAGGCTGCATATTCTTTATTTTCTAGGTTTGTTCCATGTTGTCTGTCTCTAACTGATGCTGCTGTCTGTCTCAGCCAGGACACTGCAAACAATTTTAATCTCAAGTTTTTTTTCCTGGTTAAATAAATAAATAAATATTTAAATGAGTTTAAACAGGATGTAAACAACGAGCTCCTGCAGCCGCCGACAGGAAGTCAGTTTTAAAGGGTTACTTAGTGTCCCCACTAATGTTGATGTTAAGTTGCAGCCTGGTCTCGTGGATTATTAGTTGCAGCAGTGTTGACATTAGTTTGTAGCCGTGACAGTCGTCAGCAGACAGATTAGTTTATTGGATAAATAATAAATTAATTAACGATCGATCGGTGGCGTCTTTTGACTTGTTTCCTGTTTTTATCTGATCAGTAACAAACGTGCTGCGTCTTCTTACCAGGATCTCAGTGCTGACAGCCTCGTCCTCCTCCAGCACCTCCTCGCTCTCCTCGCTCTCCACCTCCTCAATGCTCGTTGCCTCCACCTTCATCATCATCATCATCATCATCACCATCAGGCCCAGGAGCAGAGGGAGCAGCAGCAGTCCTCCTGCCCCACCCACAGAGCTCCTTCTCTGGGACGGCCTGGCCGGCATGCTGGGTGTCTGTGGTGGAGGAGGAACCAGAGGACGTTCAGGTCTTCAGCTGTGTCTGTGGAGCGAAGACGTTCCCATGATGCACTCTGGTGAGTCTGCTGGACTTTAGTTTTCTTCTTCTGTGGTTTGTCTTCTCTGTGTGTTCACGCTGAAGTTTCCACAAACAGAAACAGTGTGTGAGCTTTCAGACAGAGAGTCTGTGTGTCAGGAAACTTTCTCTCTGTGGGTGGTTTGGTGCCTCCTCCTCTCCTCCTCCTCTTTTTCCACCTCCTCCTCCTCTCTTGTCTTTCAGTCGTCCACGCTGCAGACGAGCAACACCGGTCTTCTTCTCTGATCCTCCTCAGTTTGAACGTCTCTGCTCTGCTGAGTCTGTTTTATCTCCCTCCCTGACTCCTCCTCCTCCTCCTCAGCTCCTCCTCCTCCTCCTTCTGTCTGTCTTCTCTCTATCTGTCTTTGGATCTGAAGCTGTCACTTTGTCTGTCTGCAGGTCTTTTTCTTAATGTCTCCTCAGCGTCTGTCTGTCTGTCTTTTATCTCTTCTCCCATCGTTTGTCTTTCTTTGCCGCCTCCTCCTCCTCCTCCTCCTCCTCCTCCTCCTCCAGCTCTTCAGGGTCCTAATGCAGCTGCTCTGACTAACATCTCATCTGTGATCATATTCAGTGGATCCACTCTGTTTCATATTTTTATATTTATTCTAAAATATAGCAAATATGGACGTTTTCATATCAGTCCTTGTAATGACACACACACACACAAACACACACACACACACACACACACACACACACACACACACACACACCCTGCCTGACAGATAAGGTGGGTGTGGTCTGGGGTCTGACAGGATGATGAAAGTTACTTTGAATGTTGATCAAACGGCAGCGGCCGTTTCCTCTGAATCTGACTGAAGCTGATAGAGACACACACACATACACACCCCTCACACACACACACACACACACACACACACACACTGTAATATTACATCACTCATCGCTGTCGTCATGTTGACACTGAGCTGCAGTTCCTCACACAGTCTCTAAGCTTGTCAGATTCAAAGTGACTCTAATCCACGGGTTGTGTTCTGGTTACATTTATATCTACACAGGGAGCAGGTCCTCGTCTACAGAGACCACCATGTTGCACCGCCATGTTTCTACAGTAGCCCAGAAGGGACAAACCAAATGCTGACTCTGGACAGAGACATTCATGTTCAATGTGACCTCTGTTATCTCCACTGTGTGTCGTCTCTACTACCCAGAGCTTCATGTACATGGTGGATGTGGGTCAAGACTGCTGGGACAAACTGGTTTAAAGGCATGTTCTGAACAGGTTGCCATCCTGTGTTTTCCTGTGTTTGGAGAACTTGAGACAGCAGTCTCCTGATAATGTGCCGTTATCGTCACACATGAATCCAATGACCTTGACGTCCAGGCAGCACAAGTTAATTCCACCCTTCCAGCTGTACAAGCCTGGTCTCACTCTGAAGTCGTCAATATCTGGCGCTTGGGCAGTGACTTGCAGCGTCAGAAGCCAACGACAAAGGCATCCTTTAACAACGGCGTGATACGTAGCCGGTTGCCTTTATAGTTCAACGGTGGCTGGAAGCGTCAGGTGGAAATGTGGCGGGACAAGGATGAAAGTTAAAGGGGGATTTATAGCAGAGCCTACGCTGCTGTGAGCATTTATACCTGTGTGGTGGTGTGTCTGCATCACTCTGCAGTTACACCTCCAAAACACTAGAGGGCGGCAGAGTTTCTGTGAAGTGCTGTAAAGTTTAGTTGATTGATTTAGTTGAACTGGAAGAATCTCGTTTAATCTGGACAGACAGTCTCAAAACTTATAAGAGGGGCCTCCTCAATGCCAGTTCAAACTATTACTCAGCATTAATAGAAGATAATAAGAACAACCCCAGGTTTCTTTTCAGCACTGTAGCCAGGCTGACTGAGAGTCAAAGCTCTATTGAGCCTTGTATTCCTTTAGCCCTTAGCAGTAATGATTTTATGAGCTTTTTTAATGACAAAATTCTAACTATTAGAGGCAAAATTCATGACCTCCTGCCCTCAGATGGTAGGCCTACCTATCTAACCTCAAACACAGCTGTAAGACCTAATATATATTTAGATTGCTTCTTCCCAATTTCTCTTCAAGAATTGACCGCAGTGATTTCTTCATCTAAATCATCAACGTGTCTCTTAGACCCCATCCCAACTAGGCTACTTAAGGAGGTCTTTCCTTTAGTTAACACTCATATATTAGATATGATCAATATATCCCTATTAACAGGCTATGTACCACAGTCTTTTAAGGTAGCTGTAATTAAACCTCTACTAAAAAAGCCCACCCTGGATCCAGAGGTGTTAGCCAACTATAGACCAATATCTAATCTTCCCTTTATGTCAAAGATCCTTGAGAAAGTAGTCTCAGACCAGCTGTGTGATTTTCTCCATGATAATAATTTATTTGAGGAATTTCAGTCAGGATTTAGAGTGCATCATAGCACTGAGACAGCTCTAGTTAAAATTACAAATGACCTTCTGATTGCTTCAGACAAAGGACTGTGAACAAAACTTTTGTATTTGTTTGTGTTGTTGGTAGAAGAGGTCATGTTTGTCGGGTCTGTAGTTATTTGGTACCACCAACAGTAATGCGGGTGCTAACATTAGAATAGAATAGAACAGAATAGAATATACTTTATTGTCCCCTAGGGGAAAAGTAAAGTATATTCTATTCTGTTGGCTAGCTCGCTAACTTGTGTCTAGCTACAGCGGCAGATTTTAATCACTGACGTTGTGGCGTATGTTTGGTTTATGTGTGGGCGGAGTTAGTGGTCAAATGTTGGTGATAATGCTCCACCGTCCGTTTGCAAGAAGAAGAAAAAGAGGTGGGTAAAATAAAAAAACAAGCTGCGTAACTTCTAGTGAGAGCAAAATGGCAGCTTAAACATTTGTGACAACACTACCCTGCTGAAATTAGTGCTCCACAGGAGGAGTACGTAGTGTTCACAGTGTGCTACACTGAGGTGTACCAACCAGGGTGGGTTATAATAATCGATTCATCTGATTCATATTGATCTTCATTTGAATGACCTGATATTGATCCGTAAAATCCGAGATCGTTCTTTCAGTATCTGCTTTTTCAAGCTGCAGCTCGAAGTTATTAACGACTGTGGTGATGAGAAGCTCCAACGTTACCGGCTGTTTAATCTGTAGCTGTTAGCTATTAGCTGTTAGCTGTTAGCTATTAGGTGTTAGCTGTTAGCTATTAGCTGTTAGCTATTAACTAGCTGTTAGCTATTAGCTGTTAGCTGTTAGCTATTAACTAGCTGTTAGCTATTAGCTGTTAGCTATTAGCTGTTAGCTGTTAGCTATTAGGTGTTAGCAGTTAGCTGTTAGCTGTTAGCTCACTGTTTTTATGTGTTGATGTAATTTATTTTCGTGCTGCTGCAGCAGCTGCTCCTGCTGTGAGGCTGTTGTGACACTTTTACACACAAACACAGAGTAGGGACGCCGCGGTGCAGACAGGAAGTGAAGATAACTCGAGCTGACGACAGCTGCACTTGTTACTGTGAGTGCAATAAAACCTCCACCAGGACAAAATCAATACTTTATCAAACAGCTGATCAGCAACATGTAGAAAATATTTCAGTCTGCTCTGCCCACAGGGTTAGGGTCATCCACCGCCGCTGACGTCATGTTAGGAACACGCACAGAGGCTTTACAGCTACAACATGCTGAAACAACAACAGCTGTTAAAGGTTTAACTCTGTCTCCTATCTGAAAACTGACCTGTGGTCATGTGACCTGAGGTCATGTGACCTGTGGTCATGTGACCTGAGGTCATGTGACCTGCAGACAGTGACTGTCCTGGGCCGCAGAGAGGACAGGTGGACAGGTGGATTTATGTCTCTGTAAACTTGACTCAGTGTTGTGATGTCAGAACATGATTTATGTTACTGACATGTTCGATCTGTTTCCAGTCACATATTAAGTTTATTTTGTGACTTTGTTGTTTTAATGTTTCTGTTGCTGCTCTACAAACATTTAGTTATAAAATATTCAGTTTTAATTTTAATTATTCTTTTTTTTAAAAATAATTCCTTGTAGAGTTTACAGTAACATATCTGTGAGGATCTATTTTACATACTCGCAAAAATTTATACTGAAACTGAAATATCCCTGATCGAATTGATCCAGCAAATGAGTGTCGATACGCAGCCTTAGTGTCAACAGTTCAACCTCATGGAAACACCAGACGGAGAAATTTAAAGGTTGTTTCCACTTTAAGATCAAAGAAAGAAAACAGTGTGAAACCTTTAAACTCAGCTGACGGCGAGCAGGCTGTGGAGGCTGCAGGTATGAAGGTGAAGCAGCTCTAAGTCCTGATAAGAGGATCTGTCTGCACACACACACACACACACACACACACACACACAGTGTAAGCTGAGCTTTGCGTGCTGAGGATCAGGTCAGTGGTTCATCAGTCTGATGTGGTGGTTGTGTTGAACAGAGGGGATGATGGGAGCTGACGACAGCTCGGTGGGGACGAACCCCGAAAACAGGACTGACCTCTGAACCCGAGACACACGCTGAACACGGTAAACACTGTGTGTGTGTGTGTGTGTGTTCATCTGTAGACCAACAGTGTCTGTTGGCTTTGTTAACTTGTGTGTGTGTGTGTGTGTGTGTCAGGTGTCATGGACGATGTGGATCCATCTCCTCTGCGGCGTTTTGTGGTAGCGAAACATTCGATCACCTCCATCTTTGATCAGCTGCTGGACTTTGTGAAGGATGGCTCCGCCTTTGTGGACGGTCAGAAACACACACACACACACACACACACACACACGGGGTGCATGTGTTCAGTCACAGGGATCAGTAAAGTTATTTTATTTCATGTAAAGTCAAAAGTCTGAAAACATTAAACATAATTTTATGTGATGTTTGTCGTTAAACAGCTGATGATGTGTTGTTTGTTTGTTTGTTGTGATGTCAGAGGCGTGGTGGGAGCTGAGTCTGGAGCTACAGAGCTGTTTTTGTTTGTTTGTGTGTTTGTTAATAACCAGCTGGTGTTGACGTGTTGTTTGTTTGTTTGTTGGGATGTCAGAGGCGTGGCGTGGCGATGACCTGGGTCAGGTGGCGGTGGAGGAGCAGAGTCTGGAGCTGCAGAGCTGTGCCACCAAACTGTGGACCATCAGGGAGGTTCTGCTCAGGAGACACATGAAGGTGGCGTTCTTCGGCAGGTACGTCACTCACACATGATGATCACATGACTCAGTTAAGGAACACGCCCACATGTGATGATGACATCACATCAGCGTAGGGTCTCCTGCAGAGTCTCAAACTAACTCTGTCTCTACACCAGGTGAGTTTGTTTTTTAATGTGTCACGGAAATCTGTGTGCGACTGAAGGATCAACATTTACATCATTCATGACATCATTTATGTGAACGATGATGTCATTCAGTGTTTGCGGCTGTCAGAATGAACTCTGGAACCAACAGAGAGACTCGATATGTGATCAGCTCGTCTGTGCTGAAACAGCTGCTGGCCGGGGAGACGTTCTCTGTGTCCTGATCCTGGTTTCTGGTCTGTTGTCTTGTGGACGTTATTTGTGTTTCTCGTTTCATGTTTTTCATTCATGTTGAATCTGCTTCCTGTTTTAATTTGTTGACTCTCTGCTCATGTGTCGTGTCTGCTTTTACTTCCTGTCTCTGTGTGTTTTCTGTCACACCTGTCTCGTTCGTCCCTCCCTGTTCCCAGAGTCTTCCTCTCACACCTGTTCTGTGTCAGTCTTGTTGGCTCCATTTACCTGTGTCTACCTGTGTGTTTCCATTTGTTCCTCGTCAGTTCGTGAGCGTTCGTCCTTATGTCCCTGGTGTCGTTCCCTGCTCCGTCTCCTGCCTGCTGTCTTGTGCTCTGTGTTCATCTTTTTATCCTGTTTGGTTTTCTGTTTAGTTCTGGTTCCTCTTTCTTTGACACTTTGAGCCACCTGCCTGTTTTGGATGTTTTCTATCAGCTCGCTTTTTATTAAACCTTCAACCTGCCTGCTGCTCTGCACTTGGGTCCTTTCTCAACTGATGTATGACAGGAAGTAAAACCAGACATGACACAGAAAGAGAGAATCAACAAAATAAAACAGGAAACAGAATAAACATCAACAAACAACACGAAACAAGGACAAACACAAAAAACAGTCCACAAGAAAACAGAATAGAAACAAAACCCAGGATCATGACACACCTGCTGTAAACTCACCACCAGGGGGAGTCCTTGGTTCAGAGCGCTCTGGATGCAGTGCATTCTGGGGGTTGTAGGCCTTTCCACATTGAAACCTTTTTCTCAGTTCTCTCTGGCAACACTTTAAAAACGACTTTAAACATAGGTGACCTGACATTTCTCTTTCAGGAAGTGTGGTGTCACAGGTCTGTGGACCCGGTCACACGGCTCCCAGTCACTAATTTTCCATTCACCAGGTTTTTCCCGCCTCAGCATCATCAAGGCAGCTCAGTTCACCTGTTCCTGACTCTCCACACTTTGATCCAGACTGATTTCCTGTTGCTGACTCCGCCTACTTCGTCTGATTCCCCGTAAATGCCTCAGCCCTCTGTCCCCCCCGATCTCTAGATCTGTTTCCGTGTCCTTGGTTCCTGTTTGCCTGTGGCTGCTCGCCATTACCATGTGATGATGATGACGACACTACAGTGTGAGTGTTCCTGTCTGCTCACCTGTGGTCTCCTGTGGTTCAGAGACTTTCACCGTGTCACCACACTCACCATTGTGTGTGCATCCTGTGAGTATCAACCTGCCGGCTTCTTGACCCTCCGCCTGACCTCGACCTGCCGTCTGCCTGCTGGGTCACTGTTCGACCTGTGTACTGACCTGGTTCTGGATTTTCTGCCTCCATGACTCCATCTCCTGCCGGCTCTTACACCGTTCTGTTGCCTGTTATTGACCTGAGCTATGTGTCTGTGACAAACATCGCTGCTCACTCATTTGCCTCCTGTCCGAACCAGCTTAACTGAAGACTTAACTGAAGTGTTGAGCTGTACTGTGTGCTGATCACCTGCCCTGTCCTGTACCTGTTGGGCTGTGGCATTAAACATCACCTGTTCCTGGTGTCCAGCTGCATTTGGGTCCAAACGTAACCCGTCACATCAGGTCAGTCAGACTTGGAACACTCTGTCCAACTTTAGACTTGGGGGTTTGTGTCTGACCTTTCCTAACGCACCTGGCCAGGTGTGTGTCTGGTCTTTACACACATTGACATCGCGTTTCGGTGCTATTGAGAACACAGTGGTCCGGCCAAGGTTCCAGGACATGTGGACGTCAGTTCCACAGGAAGACAACAGGACGGGGACAAGGGTCTCATCTCCAACCGCCCGACACACCACCAGATCAACAAACCTCCTGCAGCAGACGCAGCGCTGAAGGACCGTCTCCACACTGTTAGCACGAGCTAATTAGCAGCAGCGGCTAACATCCAACATCAACAACTAACAACTTATTAATGACTGCTCAACATGTGATGCTACAGTCAGTATTAATTGGTATCGTTTCCTTTCTGACTGTGTGTGTGTGCATGTGTGTGGGTGGGTGTGTGTGTGTGTGTGTACTGGGGCAGAGCAGAGGAGATTTGTAAATGTGCGACCATGTAGAGACAGAAATGACATGAGATAAATAACATACGGCTCTTTAGTTAGTTTGATAAAAACACAAGGTGTAGACCTGTTCTATAGGAAAGGTAACCTTACATGACTTCTGTTGTGATCTGGAGCTATACAGGAAATAAAACCAAATACAATTAACTTGACCTTCAAGGGGAGGGGGGGGGTGTCCCCCTAATTAAATGGTAGGGGAAACACTGGCAGGTATAAAAACAAAGAGTGTGTCCAGTCCTGTGTGCTGCTGCTGTGAAGAAGCTCCGCCCCTCATGTGACTCACCTGAGACAAACCAGGAAACAAGTTTTTATTCTGCCTGAGTCACTGAGAGAAGACACACAGTCAGAGATGGACGATAAGATTCACCTCTGGACCAGAAGCACCACTTCCACTACCTGAGGACAGCTCCAGGAGGGAATACTGGGAATACTGGGAATACTGACTGCTCACACTGAACCAGAGTTTTACAGCAACAAGGACTCAAAGTGAAAGTAACTCTGATGGAACAGGAAGTGGCTGAGCTGTCTGCCTGCTGTGTTCACAGCGTCACTCAGAGACAAAATGGCTTCCAGATTAGAGGACGATCTCTGCTGCCCTGTTTGCTGTGACATGTTCAAAGATCCTGTCATCCTGTCATGTAGCCACAGCTTCTGTAAAGACTGTCTGCAGAACTGGTGGACAGAGAAACCAGCACGTGAGTGTCCAGTTTGTAAGAGAAGACACTCAAATGTCTTATTACTTCCTAACTTTGCTCTAAAGAAGCTGTGTGAGAGTTTCTTACAGGAGAGAGATCAGAGAGCTTCAGAGGCTCTCTGCAGTCTGCACTCTGAGAAACTCAAACTCTTCTGTCTGGACCATCAGCAGCCAGTTTGTCTCGTCTGCAGAGATTCAGAAAAACACACCAACCACAGATTCAGACCCGTCGATGAAGCTGCACGACAACACAAGAAGGAACTTGAGGAAACTCTGGAGCCCTTAAAGGAGAAGTTAAAGGTTTGTGAACAAGTTAAAGTGAAGTGTGAACAAACAGCAGAACACATGAAGGTCCAGGCCCGACGCACAGAGAGGCAGATTAAGGAGCAGTTCAAGAAGCTTCACCAGTTTCTAGAGGAGGAAGAGGAGGCCAGGATGGCTGCACTGAGGGAGGAAGAGGAGCAGAAGAGTCAGATGATGAAGGAGAAGATGGAGGCTCTGAGCAGAGAGATAGCAGCTCTTTCAGACACAGTCAGAGCCACAGAGGACGAGCTGAGAGCTGAAGACGTCTCATTCCTGCTCAACTACAAGGCTGCAGTGGACAGAGTCCAGCAGCGCCCCCTGCTGGATGATCCACAGCTGCTCTCAGGAGCTCTGATAGACGAGGCCAAACACCTGGGCAACCTGACCTTCAACATCTGGAACAAGATGAAGGACGTGGTCTCCTACACTCCTCTGATCCTGGACCCAAACACTGCTGGTCCATATCTCATCCTGTCTGAAGATCTGACCAGTGTGAGTCGAGGACAGAGACAGCAGCTTCCTGATAATCCAGAGAGGTTTTACTACTGGTGTGTCCTGGGCTCTGAGGGCTTTAACTCAGGGACTCACAGCTGGGATGTCGAGGTTGGAGACATTACATACTGGGAACTGGGTGTGTTAGCAGAGTCTGTCCAGAGGAAAGGAGTCATACACTCTGGATTATGGAGAATATGGTTCTGGTCTGGTGAATACACAGCAGTCTCCCCACCACATCAACCCACTGCTATCCCAGTGAAGAAGAAGCTCCAGAGGATCAGAGTCAATCTGGACTGTAACGGAGGAAAACTGTCGTTCTCTGATCCTGATACTAACACACACATACACACCTTCACACACACTTTCACTGAGAGGATGTTTCCATTCATTTATTCTGGGGATGATCTCCCACTGAAGGTTTTACCACTGAAGGTCTCTGTGACTGTAGAACAACAGGAATGAAAGACGTGTTTCAGATCTGATGGTTTATGACTCACAGCAGTCAGACAGATGCACCATGTTGGATTTGTTGCTGATACTTCAGAGGTAGATTAAATATGAATGAATGATCAGAGGGGACGTAGAGCTCACTCAGAGTCAGACTGTTGTCGCTACTCTCAGTTTGTATTTTGGTTCTCAGGTGTTACGAGGTGCAGTGATGTAAATGTAAATGTGAGTGATGGATCTGAGTGTGTTCATGTCGCAGTTTGATCATTTGTACAGTTTGGGACAATCATGAAGCTTCTTCCTGCTCCTTTTCAGACATGAAATGTTGATTTATGTTTTGTTTTGTTTTTTTTGTTTCCCTTTATTTATTGTGTTGTTTTTCTATTTGTAACCCCTATGCAGCAATTTTTCCCTTCATCCAAACCAAATTTCTCCCAAGGGAGACCAATAAGTAACCTTGACCTTAACCTTGAATGTTTTAATGTTCGCCCATGTTTTGAAGGGTTTTTTCTACAATCATTTCTATTTTCTTATTAATATTTTTTAAGTGTTCAAAATCAAATCAAACAGAGAAAGAGTCAGTTATTAAATGTTTCAGGTGAAGTGATGTGAATAATCAGAGTTTAACGGACACAGCCAGCTG